ATCATCAAATTAGAATGCGAGAAGGAGATGAATGGAAAACTACTTTTAAAACTAGATATGGATCCGTATGAATGGTTGGTTATGCTATTTGGTCTTACTAATGCACCTAGTACTTTCATGCGTTTGATGAATCATGTTTTGCGTACTTTCATAGGTAAATTCGTGGTAGTATACTTCGATGATATCTTGATTTATAGTAAGGATTTGAATGAGCATGTGGAACATTTGAAGTGTGTGCTTGTGGTTTTAAGAAAAGAACAACTTTATGATAATTTCAAAAAGTGTTCATTTTGCATGAAAAATGTTGTCTTCCTTGGATATGCTGTTAGTGCTAAAGGAATAGAAGTTGATGAAGATAAAATCAAAGCTATTAAAGAATGGCCAACACCTAGAAGCATAACTGAGATTATGAGTTTCCATGGCTTGGCTAACTTTTATAGGAGATTTGTTAAGGACTTTAGCACGCTTGCCACACCACTCACAGAAGTCATTAAAAAGAGTGTAGAATTTAAATGGGATGTAGAACAAGAGATTGCATTCAAAGCTATTAAGGATAGATTATGTAAAGCACCCATCTTAGCATTATCTAACTTTGATAGAGCTTTTGAAATTGAATGTGATGCGTCGGGAATAGGTATTAGTGCTGTTTTGATGCAGGATGGAAGATCAATTGCATATTTCAGTGAGAAGCTAAGCGATGTAGCACTCAACTATTCTATATACGACAAGGAGTTGTATGCACTTGTTTGAGCTTTGGAGAATTGGCAACGTTATCTATGGCTGAAAGAGTTCGTGATCCATACCGACCATGAATCCTTGAAGCATCTACGGGGCCAAGGGAAGCTAAACAAGAGACATGCACGCTGGATGGAATTCATTGAGACATTTCCAAATGTCGTTCGGTACAAACAAGGTAAAGAGAATGTAGTAGCTGATGTGTTGTCGCGACGGTATGTGCTTCTTACTTCTTTGAGTGCAAAATTGCTTGGATTTGAATATGTGAAAGATGTGTATGTGAATGATGATGTTCTGATATATATATAAGTAGTGTAGTAAAGGGGCTATTGATAAGTTCTTTAGGCATGATGACTATTTATTTCGGGAAAATAGATTGTGTGTTCCTAAATGTTCTATGAGAGGGTTGTTGGTCCGAGAGTCACATAGTGGGGGTTTGATGGGTCATTTTGGGGTCAAGAAGATTCTAGAGATGCTGGGAGAACATTTTTATTGGCTTAAGATGAAACGTGATGTAGAGAGGATATGTAGTCAATGCATAACATGTAAACATGATAAATCTAAGGTTTTACCACAAGAACTTTATACACCTCTATATATGCCTAGTGAACCTTGGGTTGATATCTCTATAGATTTTGTTTTGGGTTTACCTAGGACTAAGAGGGGACGAGATTCAATATTTGTAGTGGTAGATAGATTCAGTAAGATGGCACATTTCACAGCATGTCATAAAACCGATGATGCCNATTTTGTTTTGGGTTTACCTAGGACTAAGAAAGGACGGGATTCAATTTTTGTGGTTGTAGATAGGTTTAGTAAAATGGCACACTTCATTCCTTGCCATAAAATCGATGATGCTACCAACATTGCAGATTTGTTCTTTAAGAAAATAGTACGTTTGTATGGGGTTCCTAAAAGTATTGTATCGGATAGGGATGTTAAGTTCCTTAGTCATTTTTGGAGAGTTTTATGGAATAAGTTAGGAACTAAGTTATTATTTTCTACTACTTGTCATTCACAGACTGATGGACAGACCGAAGTAGTTAATAGGACTATGATTCAATTGCTATGTACTGTGATTAATAAGAACGTGAAGAGTTGGGAAGAGTGTTTACCTTTCATTGAGTTTGCTTATAACAGGGCAGT